TCCCCGCCATTCCCAACAATTCATCCCATAATACAGTTCTACCATTGGCTTGATGATCTCCGTAAATAACTGAGATTTCAAACTCTCTGTCTTCTCCGATTTCCTTGAATACACCATGTATTAATTGTCTCTAAATCTTCTCTATCTGAACTTTGTAAGCTGATTTCTGCCACATTAAAAGTATCCTGCCTTTTTTTTGTATTCTGTTGTTACAAACTTAATCAAAATTTGACCATTTCCTCGTCATAAGCTCATCAACTTTAGATCCTGCGAGATTAACTTTTTGCAGACCTGTAATTCCGACACCATTAACAGATAGAATTTAATCGATCTCTCTGTGTTTCAGGGGACTGTTAAGTTCCCTTATGTTCCAGGATATTATGTTACTCGTGGTTACTAGACCCTCTTATAGGGTTACTAGTGCCATTGCAACATATCTTGATTCCTCCTTTCCGTTTCTCCGTGTTTTTTCCATCTTGGATGATCAGCCCCCTTCTAGTAACTGGAGCTCTGCCTTTTTTAGTAATATGATTAGTCTCCTTATTCTGATGTTGTTCTTTGCTCCTTTCCAGGGCTGACTGCTTGTTTTTATCTAATTGAGTTCCACTAGGCTCCGCTACATCTGATCCAGGTGCTATTTGAGTGTCCTTCAATGGCAGCTTATCAGCTAGCTGAGTTGCACTAAACTTTGCTATGACTGATCCAGATTCTGTCTAAGATTCCTTCAATAGTACCTTGAACCCTGCTCCATGTTCCTTAATCTCTTTACCTTTTCCTTTGGTGGGAACATTTGCTTTCTGCCAGGCTTGAACCTTCGGTTTCTTGCACTCTTCGGCTAAACGCCCATAACCTTTACAAAAGCTACACTTGACAGGTTTCCACTCATACCTGATAGGCTACTCCTGGACTACACCGCATTAATCCTCGAACCATAGTGAGGTTGGCAAGGAATTAGTGATTTCCATTTCGACCACGATTCTGGCACAAGCTGCTCGATCTCTCTGATAAGTCAATTCATCCATTTCCAGTGGCTTTCCTATAGTGTTGGTTAGCCTACTTAAAGTCTTAGTACTCCAATATTTCAGCTGCAATCTAGGCAACTGGATCCAGATTGGGACGTTTCTCACTTCTTCAAGTTTGAATCCCTCCTCAACGTTCCAATCCTTAACAATTAGGGGCTTACTATTGAAGTGGTGTATATTTTGGCTTAATATATACCTCTTCTTTAGCATCAATTGACCTGAATCTCACTATGTAGATACCATTATCCACCAACAAAACTTTATCAACCCCAAGCTTTCCCTATATTATACGGATATATCCACTTACATCATAAAAGGGGGGATTCGAGCCTAGTATGTAACAGAGCACAGAAGGTTTCCAAAAATCAACTGCTTCCTAGAATTCTGACTTACGAACCTTTGCAATTACATATTCATTGACCCTATCAGGCTCAATGAATTCCAACTTTCTTCCCTCGTTCCTAAGTATCTGAGGATCAAAGGATTCCCAGAAATTCCCAACAATTCCCGTTCCAATCACCTTATTCGTCCCATCAGAATGATTCTTAACACTAACAGATGATTCATTCACAATCTTATGCTTACACATGCGTTCTAATACACAATCAGGACTTGCAATTGAAGAAGACTTAGATTTAGGGCTTACCGTAATTGGGCTTCGATTAGATTTATCTCCAAAATCTTTCCTGGCCGAATCCAATTATTCCCCTGCTCGATGTTCAAGATTCTCCCTCTATGTTGTTTTCCCCCTTTTCTTCGCGTTTCCTGCCATTGCAAGCATGCCCTAGGACGCGCCGGAACGTGAAGAAGATCGTCACACACTAGATCGTCACATATATAAAAGTTGAAAAAAGAAAATATAGATCATCTATGCAATTGCAATTTTTGATAGATAAAAATATATAGTCGGTAACTATAATCTATATTAAATTCATCTTTTGAAAATTTGAAAAAAAGAAGTCGAACACTTTTGTGATATGATTATGTATATTTGTGATATTTTATTCATTATTACAAACCAATTCCTTTATTTATATTCGTCATATGAATTATTCCAACAAATTATGTTTTAAAATATTTTTTATAAGTTCGAAGTTTTTTTCATTATCAAAATGAGTGAGTGTGAATATACGATTAAACATCAAACAATACATGAACCATGATATATATATAAAATTTATAGTACCCCAATTGTAAGTAAATGATCATGTATTGATTAAGAAAGTTTATATTGATAGCTTATCGTTTAGAAATTATCAATGTTATCATGTTTATAGAAATTCAATAATAAAAATTTTGTTCATCTTAGTTTTTAGAAATATAGTCATATTTGTTCTATTAGAAGTCTAAATAGTTCTACAAATTTATTATTTTTTAAATTGATAGAGTAATACATTAGCAATAATTTGAAACATAATCAATTGAAATGAATTTCAAAACAACACTCTCCCTAATTTTTTAATGTTTTCAATTCATATTAATTTGGTAATTGCAGTAAACTATTATTAATGATTTAATATGACATAATAAGTAAGATAAAGATAAACGAGGGATGAAATTGAATTCTACATAAATAACTAAACCATTAGTGTGGGGCTAAATTAAAAATTATAAAAGTCACAGCACACCCTTGCAATTTTTCAAACAATGAATAAAATCTATTTCCCAAGTGTCCAACTAAGCAGATCTCTCCTAAGGATATGTTTGTTTCGTTTTTTTAGTGTGTGTTTTTAAATATTTTTTGTATTAAAAATATAAAAAAGTGTATTGAAAATATAAAAAAATATGCTGGGTTGAGATCGTCATTATTTTATTAATCTAAAAAAATCATAAAAAAAAACTAAACAAACAAATAGTTTTCTTTTTCTTTAAAGAAAAATAAAAAAAAAAGAGTTCCAGATTTACAAATCAATACCAACTCCACCCATGGGCTCACGTGAGCAACTGATCGTGCACAAATCTCGGGGCGATCCATCTTTCGATATCCTCAATGAAGTCAAACAATATGTTTACAATTTTTTATTAATTACTTCTAAGTTTTTAACTGGCTGTCATTACTGCAGATATTTAACCACGTGCCCTTTGGAATCTTTACACTGTTTGATCGGACAGCAAACTAGCGGCCAAACCAAACGACAAATTAGAGTTGTTTTGGACCCTTTTGGCTCAGAAAATAAAAACTGTTGTTAAAATATGTAAAAATAATGTCAAAAATCTTCTGTACTACTCATTTTTTTTTGCACTGGAAAATGATAGAATTATAGAAACATGGGTCTAAATCTAACGACTTGTGATTAAACCTTGCGAACAAAGAGTACGTGTATGAAAATTAATATCTGATGAGCATCGTGAAAAATAAACTCTTCCGATCTTATTGTTATAAAATATTTTGATTTGTTTTAAACTTCATCAGTATATTTTTTATTTCAATTGAAAATAAAATCTCAAAGTATTTTATCATAATTGGAAGAATGTAATAAATGTAAAAATATACTTTTAAGATTTTATTTTCAATTAACATACTAGATGAAATTTATGATAAATCAAAATACCTTGTAATAAAGACCGGAGGGAGTAATATAAAGTACTCTTTTTATCTGAAAATGATCCAATTTAGATTTTCATTTTTCATTTAAACTGTACTAAAGATAAAAAATTTTAATTAAATAATAATTTTAGAATAAGAAGAATACAACAAAAAATTTCGTACACAATGTATATTCACCTAAACGATGGTTTTTATACAACTAAAAGACCTATGGTTATGTATCAATCTCTATAGTTTTTACCGATTTATTTATTCCCCAATTTAAGTATTTAACAAATGAAAATGGTACTTCAAGACATTAGGGTTTTCGATGAAATTGTTGTTTTGACTTGTTTTTCTTGTGGTTTTTGAGATTAATCTTGAAAATACATTTGGACGATTTTAAATGAAAAATGGTCCATCGTCCAAATGTATTTTTAAGACAGTAGTCTCTTCAAATATACCAAAAATGAGAATCCCTCTTAATCTCCCACCAAAAAAAGTAAAACAAAAATCTCGAGGAATATGAATATTATTTGAGTAAAGCAGTTTGATAGATAAGGACGAAGCTGCTTTTGATGTAAATGGGTTCTATCATATTTACTCCGGTCATTATTATAAGATATTTTGATTTGATTCTGTGTTTCACCTAATATGTCTTTTTTAATTAGAAAAAACTTTAAGAACATATTATCACATTTGTCGTATTCTCATAAATGTTAGGAAATATTTTCAAGATTTTAATTTCAATTAAAAAGACATCCTAGATAAAATTTAAGACAAAAAATCAAAATACCTTACAATAAAGACAGGAGGGACTATGTCGCTATGCTTAAAATTGTCACTACTCTTTAAATTTTGTGGTGTTGTGGTAGTAATATATGTTTTGTGATTGATGATCACAAATTCAAAAATAAGAAAAAGAATAATAGAACACGTACAGAAGTTCTTTTGCATATCTTTGAGAAGCAGAAAGTGATTTTTATACGGAAGATTGATTATCACATATAAATGGCAAAAGGAAAAATATCTTCTCAATCAATATAAATATAAATTTCTTGAGATGTTTTTGGAGTGGGACAATAAGATGAGCTGTCGGAGCAAAGCCCATTTGGATTTCCACCCCACGAACGCAAATCTTTTTTTTACAATAATAATGATCATGGCGATCCACTTCCTCCTCACATGGCAGATGTATAAAATACATATCATATTATTTTATTTATTGAACTATTTTTGTTAATGATTGAGTAATGTGGCGGTATTATTTAGGGCAGCACTTAACTCCCTTTCCAAATTGAAAAACTTATTCATTATCAATAATATATATTTAATTATGTCCGAAATCTTGTGATTAGGAAAAAATACGTGCGAAATAATCCACGATGTATTAATATTATCAACTGTCTTTTTGGTGCTCCATAATTTACGTACTATTTTATGCCCGAAAAAAAAAAGGGGTCAAAATACGCATTTTACCGCTTTCCCGAAGATACCCTTTTTCTCGACGGCTCTATTATTTATCCTCGGCTTTTCCCTTGCTTTTTTTCTTCAGGACTTTTGCTCAGACTTCAGTCCCCACTTCTTCTCCTCTGCACTTCATCCCTCCCAACTCATTTCTTCTTTCCTTTGACTATTTGAGGTATGAATGAATCGATTACTATCTTTGATCTGTTTATTCTTCTGGGTTTTTGCTATTTTCTCTTTTATCTGAGCATTTTCATGCATTATAATGCAGCTCCCCAAGTGAATTTTACTGCTCTGGGATCTTGGATTTATGTTTTTCTTTTTTTGTTCTCTGCATGCATTGTATGATTGCAGTAGTCAATGCTAATTTATGGGGTTTTGCTTATATTTCTTACTTTAGATCTGAAAAACAATTACTTAATTTTGCTGACACCAGTTAGTGTAGCTTGTTCTGGCTGAAGATGTAGTGGTTGATTTTTTTTTTCCCCTCCTGGATCTGCATACTAATATCTGCGTTGCGAACGACTGTTTTGGAGTAGAAATATATTTGCAATTGATGGCAGAAAGTGCTTAATTAAGGTTTTTTGGCTTTAGAGTTGGTCATTTTGCAAGTTTTAAAATGAAGGGCTGTTTTGAAGGTTGAAGAATGTTTTGCTTCGAGTCTTAAGATGTTTGATTTAATTCCTCTTTGTTACCTTGTCGGATTTCGCTAATTTTGAATATTTCTAAACAACAACTCTTTTTGAAGTAGTGCAATTTTACTAGCTGTAGTAAGAAAGGTGGAAAATTCTTATGCTTCCGTTTTCAAATTAGACTGAACTCCTGAAGGGCGACGTTTCATTCTTTTGTTCCCCGTTTTGCTGCATTTTTTGAATCTGTAGAACATAGAATAACTTTGGAATATCAGGCGATGTAAATGAGGTAAAGGTAACTTACTGTACCAACTTTTGGTACCAAATCACGTGCCTGGGTGTTTGGTTGATCTTGTCATGAAATGGGCCCACATTGAATCTGAGCAAAAAGAGTTTCTAGAATTGACAGTGAGGGATTTGTGAATGTTTTTCACTTTTGCCCTGAGGTGTGTGTTAATTAACTTCGGAAGATGCGAAAGATTTAAAATACTTGTATTTATGTAGTACTTCTTCTGTCTTTACTCTCAAAGATGTCTCCCCAAAGAAGTCTTGTTTTAAAACTTGTCGTGTGTTACCAAACTTCTCCTTCCTTCCATACATTGTTTCACTTTCGTATATTTTATGGTCATGTCAAAGTCATGCATTGGTACACCAGATCTGTTCGATTTCATTGTCTCAAAGCTTCAGAAGAACTAATGTTAAATGTATTTGTTGATTAACTATCAATAATTTGTCAGATATGATTACATTCTCTAGCTTAGCAGCAGTTTGTCACTGTTTTTGTGCTTTTGGTTTACTTAAAGATGTGTATGGCATCACCTTAATATGGGGTAGCTGACAACGATCAACACTTTATGCTTTCGTTGGATGTGTATGGTGCTTATATGCAGTAGGAATAAAAGAAAGGTGCTTATGTGCATCAGATATCCTAGACTTTGTCTCCGGCGCAATAATGTCTGAATTCAGTCTACATGCCATCTATAAGTTCCTAGCTGTACCTTAATTGTCTTACTGATTGCTAAGCTTACTCTGCAGTGTATATCATTGCTGTTCAAGTGCAAGATTTTACAATGGTTTCTAACTGGGACTTTTTTCTGGCCTTCTCAGGGTGTAGCACTTTTTGCTGTTCATTATGTCAGATCTTGAGGCCCCACTTCATCGTCCCAAGAGGAAGAAGGTCTGGGTGGACTATTTTGTCCAATTCCGATGGATTATTGTTATCTTTGTTGTTTTGCCGATCTCTTTCCTCATGTATTTCACCACATATCTTGGGGATGTAAAATCTGAGTCTAAGTCCTTCAAGAGGCGCCAGAAGGAGCACGATGAGAATGTTAAGAAAGTTGTCAAGCGGCTCAAAGAGAGGAATCCAGCAAAGGATGGCCTTGTTTGCACTGCTCGGAAACCATGGATAGCCGTTGGAATGCGGAATGTTGACTACAAGCGTGCACGCCACTTTGAAGTTGACCTTTCTGCTTTCAGGAACATACTTGACATTGACAAGGAAAGAATGATTGCCAGAGTTGAACCTTTGGTCAATATGGGCCAGATAAGTAGGGTTACGGTCCCCATGAATTTATCTCTTGCAGTGGTTGCAGAGCTTGATGATCTGACCGTTGGTGGTCTGATCAATGGTTATGGGATTGAAGGGAGCTCCCACATCTATGGATTGTTCTCTGATACCGTTGTGGCTTATGAAATTGTGCTTTCGGATGGACAGCTGGTCAGAGCCACAAAAGACAATGAATACTCTGACCTCTTTTATGCTATCCCCTGGTCCCAAGGAACTCTTGGGCTTCTTGTAGCAGCTGAGATTAAGCTGATTCCTGTGAAGGAATATATGAGACTGACATACACACCTGTAATTGGGAATATTCAGGAGGTTGCTCAGGGATATGTTGATTCCTTCTGCCCTAGAGATGGAGACCAGGATAATCCTGATAAGGTCCCTGATTTTGTAGAAGGCATGGTTTACTCTGCAACAGAAGGTGTGTTCATGACTGGTAGATATGCTTCAAAAGAAGAAGCCAAAAAGAAGGGAAACAAGATTAACAATGTTGGTTGGTGGTGGAAACCATGGTTCTATCAGCACGCTCAAACAGCTCTCAAGAGGGGCGAATTCGTGGAGTACATTCCTACAAGGGAATATTACCATAGGCACACCAGGTGTTTGTACTGGGAAGGAAAACTTATTCTTCCATTTGCTGATCAATTTTGGTTCAGGTTTCTCTTGGGTTGGTTGATGCCTCCTAAGGTTTCTCTGCTTAAAGCTACACAGGGTGAAGCTATCAGAAACTATTATCACGAGATGCACGTCATTCAGGATATGCTTGTTCCTGTTTACAAGGTTGGCGCTGCGCTTGAGTGGGTGGACCGCGAGATGGAGGTATGGCCTGATTTATTACTTTTTTTTCAATCTGAAAACTGACAACATGGACTTGTTTAATTCTTGTAACTCATTTGAAGATCTAAACTAGAATATTCTAATAGCTTGCCTGGTTTGAAATCTCAACTGTGATATCTAAATGAAGGTTTAATTTGTCTGCAGGTGTATCCAATTTGGCTCTGCCCACACAGGCTGTTCAAATTGCCTGTGAAAACCATGATTTATCCTGAGCCGGGATTTGAGCAACAACGCAGGCAGGGTGACACACCTTACGCACAAATGTACACTGACGTAGGGGTTTATTATGCACCAGGACCAGTCTTGAGGGGTGAGGTATTTGACGGGGCTGATGCTGTCCGTCGTATGGAAAACTGGTTGATTGAAAACCATGGATTCCAGCCGCAATATGCGGTGTCTGAGCTCAATGAGAAGAACTTCTGGAGGATGTTCGACGCAGAACTGTACGAGCAGTGCAGGAAGAAGTACAAAGCCATTGGTACTTTCATGAGTGTGTATTACAAGTGCAAGAAGGGAAAGAAGACCGAGAAGGAAGTCCAGGAAGCTGAACAAGCTATTCTCGATGTTCCCTATGCCGAAGCCGATTAAGCTGGAGGGGTTTTAATTTGTAGGGTTCAAGTGAGCTTTGAGTAGAATTTCGTCCATTGTCATTTTTCTTGTAGCTGTTTGTGTTTGTTTTGTGATGTCTTTTTAAATTCAGCTTTGATTATCAGATGATGTAGTTCAGACTTCAGACCTTTTTGGTTCTGTTCAGTTATTCTTAATGTACTAGGTTGGACTGACTCCTTCCCTCAAGTTTTATGCTCTTTGATCTCGATGCATCTTTGATACTCCCCTCCGGTTCTTGTTTAGAAATGATTATTCTCAGATATAAATAAAAAAATCAATTTATGTTCATTTAACTCGAGAAATAAAATCGGGAGATGTCCGCCAGTGTCAGATCTTCCCCGGATATATTTAAAGGCAAGAGATAAAACAAAAGTTATCACGATAGATCCATCATTTCCATTCAAATCTCCATTGTACAACGTTCAATTTTGTCTTCAGACCAAAGATGGCTGGCTCCACACACCTTGATGATTGGCTACAGAAGAAAACTATACGTTACAAACTTAACGTTAAAAAGTCCGCCAAAGGGAAACTTCCGCTATATTTATTTACTGTACTATACTACTCACCCAAAGGCAAAAACATATAGACAGGCTTTAAAACCAGAGCTCAAACACAAAAATCATCAAGACACAACACAACAGAGGAGGCTCTTTCATTCAAGATCTTGGAATTCGGAAACAATGGGATTGGTAGTGGTCATCTCTTTGCCATTCATTTTGTTCTCATTGTTGCTGGGATTCGGGTGTTTCTTTCTGGGAAGAGCCAAAGGGAGGCAAGATCTGCGCACAAACGCTCAGGTTTACGGTGCCCCTGCTCCACCACCGGGTTCTGTTTCCGCTTCAGATACCATTTCCGCCGCCGTTACCGGCCAGGATGCTAAATATTTTACATATCCATCTTCTCAGCCTCCTTCCGCCCATCAATCCCTCTCGAAGGATTCGAGTGACATTGTATGAATGAACTATGGGTGGGTAGCAAATTGAGCTACGAAAGCTGCTCTGTTTTTTTGAAGTCTTCACGTAATCGTGTTTGTGTAGATAATGCTTGGGCGAGTGTTGGTTAATTTGATGGAGTGATTCTCTTTCGTTATTAGGCTCATTTGTACGTCTGGATCATTCAATTTCAATAATTCTTTCATCCCTTCTTTTTGTTCTCGCCATTGTTCGTAGCAGCAATGATGACATTGTTTTGACTTGTAAACATTAATTCTGGGTTAATTTGCAAGAGAATTGGGAAGAAGAACTAGCTATGCTTAAATTGTAGTATTACTCAGATTCTCCGAGGTTCCAGAGTATAAATTAACTTAGAATATCAATGGATCTTTGAACATTTCTCATTCCAACCCAAGTACCGAACCAAAAACACTTTGCTCTCTCTCATTTAGGATTCTAATTAACTCAACCCAGCTCGCAAAGTAAATTTGGAGGGAAGTAGCGGGGATTATGATGTTCAGTGTAACATCTAGTATTCATTGAAAATTTTATCAGGTGACAACGGCTGTTATCGACGAGAGTGCTACAGTAGTGTTAAACATGCATTTAATTGGGTTTTCATTTTTAGTTTAAATTGTACTAAAAGTGAGATTTTAAACAGGACAATAATTTCGAGACAGAGGGAGAGTAGTAATTCTTTTGAACGGGAACACATTTAAACGGGAACGGGAAGCCGTTTCCCACACCCACAGGGGAAACTCGTCATAGCCGTTAAAAAGTCATCAGTAGACTCAAATCTCAATGGAGGAGGACAGAACAGAGAGAGAAAGAGAGAATCCTAGGCTGAACTTTTGTTTTCATTTTCCATGTCAGGGACAAAATGGTCTTTCCCTCACCAATCAATTTCTTTCCTCCCCCTTTTCTTCACAGCTCCAAACTTCACTGTACTCTGCTCCACCACCACCATAACCAGAATAGAGATCAAAATTCCTTCCTTCCTTTCTCTCCCCATCATTTCCTTTTCTACTACTACTATTTTAGGTCCTGAAAATTATGGCTTCCTCTTCTTCTCAACCTCCTCCGATTCCTGAAGCCGGCGGCTCCGGCGGCGGCGGCGGTGAGGTTCCGGAAACTTCTGGTTCTGGTTCTGCTGCGGGGGCAGTGATGGCGGGACCGATGCATAGAGGCGGAGATGATCTCGCATTGTATAGAGGGCTGAAGAAAGCTAAGAAAGACCGAGGTTGTACTGCCAAAGAACGGATCAGTAAGATGCCTCCTTGCACCGCCGGCAAACGTAGCTCCATTTATCGCGGTGTCACTAGGTTAATTTTGATGCTCTCCAACTGTCCTGTTCCTCCTTGTTTGTCTTTTATGTACAGTTTCTTTTATCAAATGCTTACTATTGCTGTAATTTTTTTTTTTTTTTTTGGTTTTGAAGTTGCTTTAGAAGGAAATATGGTTTAGGAATTAGAAATTGAAAACACTCTGCTGCATTTTTTTTGGATCACCATGTGAAATTGTAAATTGACCGTTACATGAGAAATCTTCAACAGGATCATGTGGAATTCGAGGTCAGATGAATTAGGAATTGTTTTATGATACTATACAAGAAAAGTATTGGCTAATCACAGTTGTTTTCCAGGTTTAGGATGTTAATGTTACATCGCATCTAACAAGTTCTTATCTATTTTTCAAGAATCCCTTTTTTTTTTTTTAAAAAAAAGTTTAAATGCTAATATACTTCGAAATTTCTAGTCTTCCTTGATGATCTTCGGTGTCAAGCATCTTCATACTAGAAGTAATAGACCTTATCATTTCATAGTTCCAGAAGAGAAGTGAAACTACAAGATACCTCATATATGGAAATATGCATCTTTAAGTTTACTCTCTTGTTCAGTTCCTCCACTATATATGTAGCGGGAACTAATCAAGAACAAGAGTCTCATTGAACAAGGTAGTATGGTTCCTACTGGTGTAATACCAGTGCTCAAAAATTTTATTGGAGCCTTAAAAATAATTGTAGCCCTAAATCTGGTGCCTCCATAATATAGTATTGCTCAAGTTTACCAATATATTGTTGGTCTAACAGCCACTACCAAGAACCACAGTAGGTAGTGCAGTTCCTATTGCTGTAACACCAGGGCTTAAAATTGTTAGGGGGGCTTAAAAAAAAAGAGGAAAGTCTGAGCAGTGAATGTTCTATCTTTAAGTTGCCCACAAGTCTGTGCTGTAACTCGATGAACAGTAGTACTCGATGAACAGTGTATAGGAACATGTGGACCAAGTATCTCAAGTATGTGTATAGAGATATGTGGATTGTGGATCTACTATTGTTCTGTAGCTGTAATTACTTGTGCTTTGAGCTGTGTTAAAATATTCATTTTGCTGGGGAGAATTACAGATGATGTAAGTATAATGTCTTTTCCTGACATGAAAGTAGCGCTCTTTTATTTGATTACAAATGGTAATCTTCTTTGGCAAGGAATGTTATGCTACAATTTTTTCAACAATGCTACTTCAATTCAATGGTTACATTCACTTAACACTAGGGACACAGACGTTAGAGCAAATAAACTAATCATGTAAACAAGCCAATTTCAATTTATTTAAATTTTTCATTGATTTAATTTTTCAAGTGATAGCCTTTAGAGTAATTAGCTTGGCAATTTCTTTCATTTCTATTAGGCATAGGTGGACTGGACGCTATGAAGCTCATCTGTGGGATAAAAGTACCTGGAATCAGAACCAGAATAAGAAGGGAAAACAAGGTTGTATATTTAGTTATAATGGACACATCAAGTCATGTTTATTCTCCAAGTGTACTGAAACTACAAAGATTTTATGTTACATATTTAGTTCCCAAGGTTTGCTATCTCACTCTTTTATGTTTTATATTTCATGCAAACTGGATGTTGTTTCGTCAATGATCCACGTGGATAGTGTACCTTGGTGAGTATCTCCCTTGGTTCCTTCTTTATAGTCAAAGTAAATTGTGATATCAACATACAATAAAAATTGATAAAATAAATGTCCGCAGGTGCATACGACGATGAGGAAGCTGCAGCCAGAGCTTACGATCTTGCTGCCTTGAAATATTGGGGTCCTGGAACTTTAATTAATTTTCCAGTATGAATCTGCAACAATTGTTTTGTTATGAATAGATTTCTGTAGCATACCTCCAAGAAAGATGAAACAAAAAAGGAAATATTCTTAACCCTTCCTCTCCTCTAACGTTGCTAATGATGGAATATGCAAGGCATATAAGGAATTACAAAATCATCTTGGAGGATGCTATGCCATTATAACTATTCTGTTGTAATCTTTCTCATTATGTCTAACAGGTTAGTGATTATAAACGAGATCTAGAAGAGATGCAAAATATATCAAGAGAAGATTATCTTGCATCACTTCGAAGGTTAGTTTAAACTGCATGACTTTATTGTATTTTACTGCAATATAATGCTACTGAACTTGACATGGTTTCTGCAGAAAGAGCAGTGGTTTCTCTAGAGGCATTTCCAAATATCGTCCTCTCTCAAGGTATGTTTGAAATTTATGGTACCCGTTAATTTCGGTACTAAGAAGTAAGTAGCCATGTCTTGAGACATGGCTTTGCAATATATAGCAAGAAACCTGATGGATATGAAACCTTAATTTGTTTTTAACATCCAGTTGCCTTTTCTGTTTGTGAAATTTAGCCGATGGGATCCACACTTACGTCAGTTATCGGGAGGGGATTACTTCAACAATATGTCTTACGGTGAGTATCCTGTTAACTTTATGTTACAAGTATAAATTTAGAGTGATTTCTACCTGATCTGTTAAGCTTCGTGGATGTGCTGGTGTTTGAATTCCTAATGGTCCATATAGCCGTCCAATGTGGTGCTTATGAATCGGATATTTTAATTACATGATTTTAATGTTTGGACTCGATATTACGTCATAATTTGGTTTTGGCTGACTCTGACGCCCTTCTCCTTAATTGGAACTGATGCAGGTGAGGATGCAACAGCAGAAAGTGAATATATCGGTGGCTTTTGCATTGACAGAAAGATTGATTTGACAAATTACATTAAGTGGTGGGGAACAAATAAACCACGTCAACTAGATTCTCACACTAAGTCATCAGAGGAAACAAAGTTTCAGTCTTCTGAAGACATGAACAGTGAACTTAAATCTCTGGACTGGACAGCCCAGCCCACTGAACCGTATCAGATGCCTCAGTTGGGCGTTCCACGTGAAGGGAAAGAGCGTAAAGGCTCCAAAGTGTCTGCCATGAGTATTTTGTCACGATCTGCTGCATTTAAAAGCTTACAAGAGAAAGGATTAAAGAAGAAAGAAACAGGTGAGAATGATGAGAATGACGATAAAAATGTTATCAACAAAAAAGACAATGGCAAGGGAGTTGAAAAATCCAGTCATGATGATGTTGGTGAAAGACTTGGAGCTGGAATTGCGATTGGTGGAGGATTCCCTGTTCAGAGAAATAGTTATCCCCTGATGCCATTGCTGTCTGCTCCTCTTCTGACCAACTATACCTCTATTGATTCTTTAGCAGATCCTGTTCTCTGGAATAGTCTTGTTTCAGCTCTCCCTGCTGGTTCTTCTCAAACTGCCGAGGTTAGTTTCAATTGCTCAAATTGATCCTGAAAATATGGGAAATATGTGAGGTGCACCATCCATATTCTTATTGAGAAATTGCGCTAGACAGAATCTTCTCAGCAGTATTCTTTCCATTTTTCTTTTTCCCTCTTTGTAGAAAATGCTTGAGAGTTCATTTTTAATGCAATGAAGCACTAAAAACCGCATCAGGAAGTATAAACTTGTCTTTTTCTCATAGTGGCATTCACAGTTGGTTAAGAATAAACGCAGTAAACAAGATTATGGCATCTTTGAGGTAGTTTTGTCCAGCCAGCAAACAGGATTCAATTAGTTTTTTGGGGTAAACCAATTAGACCTTTTCACATCCCAGTTTCTTTCACTGCAGGTAGCCGCTATATTGTTATATTTTCTCACCTAGGATAAACAATTGTTCTACTGAGCACATTTCAGTATGCTTCTTTGAATTGGAAAAGTTATTAAAGAATGTAAAGAAAGTGAAAAGGATAAAAATTGTTTCTTGATAACCCTTTAACCATACTTAGATCCAGCATTCCAATTAAGCTTTTGGGAACTACTTTTCTGATTACATCTCCTCAAATAGTCATCTGCATTGTGTTTCCATTTCATTGACTGTACGGAGTTCTTATGAATTGATTACATGCAGATTGCTAAGAATGAGTCTAGCTCGGATTACAGTTTATTCCAGCAAGAAGATTAATGGCCATATCATTTTAAGCTCGATCAGACGCCAAGACCTGAGATATGGAGTTGATAATCAGTCCTCCATGTACATACATAGAAGTTCAACTTTTTTGTTTATGAATGGGTATGTTATAATTTTAGCTACGAACATTTACTTGTACAGAGTTACATGGTTTTTGAATGACTTGCATTCCTACAGAGTGATAGGGTTATTAGCAGAATGATATTGAGAAGTATATTTGTAGCTGGGTTGATTTGTATACAGTATGAGTTGCATATAGGTGTTGTTTTTCGTTAATATGATTGTAAATTTGAAGAATTTCTTGTACGACTCTGATTGATGACTTTTGCTACGGTGGAATAAAATTTTTGTAGAAAAAGGCTCTGTCCTGTACCATGATGTTCCATTTCAATAGTTGTTATACTGTTTTGGTGCAACATCAAATGATCTCCCAGCCCTGCTAATGTAATTGGGAAAATTGTTTACCTTCTCTAATAAAATATTTAAAATCCTATGTGAATGGATTTTTCAACCCATAAAAGTGTAAGGAGCAACTAACTTCAACTTCAGTATAGGCAGCACTTCAACTGATGAAAACAGCATTTCTCAGCTTTTCTTCTTCAACTCATCGAACCTTCCCAGCGTACAGTCTCTGTCCTCCATCGAACATTTGGTGGACTTCAATTTCGCCGGCAACCCATCACCATGAATTCCCGCAGTGACCTCTTACTGCCACTCATCCTTTCTCAGAATTCATTCAACGTCATACATGTATGAAGACTTTTTGGGCCAACCTAGCTTTACATCAAAGCGTTTCTACAGGTGAACAGGTTTCGGAGTTTAGCACAAATGCACAACCCACTTAAACCTTGCATCAGATGAAGCTTATGTCCACGCTCCGACAGGTGCAACTTTAGTCTTGGCTGCTGCAGATGCTGCTGCTGCTGAAGCCGCAACTGTTTGCAGGCGTTGCCGTTGCTTCTGATTAGAATTTGACTGGGCTAGCAGGTTATTTATCTGACTTCTACACAGCGTCTCATGCTCAAGTAATGCATTAGCCAGTGTATGGAGCTCTTTGTTGTGTGTGGTAAGAATGGTTTTTGCATTATTATAAGCAGTTTCCAATAATTGCCTTACTTCTTCCTCAATTAGGAGCCCAGTGTCAGGGCTCAGGCCCTTCCCGTTGTCATCGTAGTCGTGAGTAACTAGTCCAACGTTTTTGCTCATACCATACTTCGTCACCATAGCTCTCGCAAGACTAGTTGCTTGTTGCAGATCAGAAGATGCACCTGAGGTTACTTCATCCTCTCCAAAGATGAGCTCCTCTGCGACTCGCCCGCCCATGCAGACATTAAGGCGGGCAAGCATCCGCTTTCGAGATATACTTGTTTCATCCTTTTCGGGCAGTTGGGAAACCATACCGAGGGCCATCCCACGAGGAACAATGGTTGCTTTGTCAACTGGGAGAGCACCATCAGTATGAATAGCTACAAGAGCATTGCCACCCTCGTGAAAAGCTGTGAGTCTTCTTGACTCATCTGATATGACAGCTGATTTGCGCTCACTTCCCATTATGATTTTGTCCTTGGCATACTCAAGATCCGCCAATGTAACCGCTTTGGCACCATCCATTGCTGCCTTCACCGCCGCCACATTGACCAAGTTTGCAAGATCAGCACCTGAGAACCCGGGAGATCCTCGCGCAATGATCGTCATATCAACATCATGAGCTTTACTAACCTACAAGATCCCAATAAAAATTAGATCTGCCTCCCAAATAATTGAATAAAAGATGCCACCTTCATGAAGTATCAAAGAGCAGTAAATGTCAATGGAGATTACCTTTGACATGTGTGATTCCAAGATTTGTCTCCGTCCTTCAACATCAGGATTTGGGACACAACATGACGATCAAACCGCCCAGGTCTCATCAGAGCCTTATCCAGGGACTCTGAGAAATTGGTCGCGGCAATCATAATAACTCCGTCATTCTGCTTGAAGCCATCCAGTTCGATAAGCAACTGGTTCAGTGTTGCTCGCATGTTTTGATCGTCCTTTGACTTCCGGCTTCCTCCTACGGCATCAATCTCATCAATAAATATTATACAGGGGGAGTGCTTCTTGGCAGCAGAAAAGAGATCTCTTACTCTCCGAGCTCCCACACCGACATACACTTCCTCAAACTCACTGCCACTACAACAGAAGAATGGCAACCCAGCTTCTCCAGCTATGGCTCTTGCCAGCATGGTCTTTCCAGTTCCAGGGGGTCCAGCAAGGAGAACTCCTTTCGGGAGCTTGCCACCCAATCGAGTAAAGCGCTGTAACAACATAAAATAGATCAGGAACCAAAACTTGACCAACCATTAGATCTTAGTTAAAATTGCAATGGTAAATTGTTCAATGAAGTCAAACCGAACAAGCATATGTAATGAAATGGAAACAAAAAAAGCGTGATATTCTGAAATGTGTGTGGAATGGAGGAGAGGAATGAAGAAAAAGATTAGGAAACTGTTGCTGATCACAAAGAAAGGGAACCAATCAATCACCTTAGGATCTCGTAGATAGTGAACAATTTCTTCTAGCTCAGCTTAGGCTTCATCAACTCCTTTAACGTCCCTGAATTTAAAATCTTCGTACGGGCCAAGACAAGCATGAATAAAAAGAGCATTAGAGAAATACAAGAGCTTTGCTTGTTGTAGATTTATGTAAAGTTACAATTTGAAGCAATCAATTCAAAGTTCATGATTTGTTAATACTACCTTAGCGATTTCTTCACCTTGAGCTTCTTTGATGAGTGCTTTAGCACCTGAGAAGATAATAAACGCTACACCAAAAGCACGGACAGTTCCCCATAACTGTTCTTTAAAAAATCCTGTCCTAACCGCCATCATATGTATAGGGGCAGTAGCAGTACCAAGGACACCATCCTTCGTGGATTTCCCCACATTCCTAAAAGCTGAAAAAACTCCAACTGCATCTTCTTGCAAATGCGGGTTTGGAGAACTTGAAATACCTGCATAATATAATTGGTAATAGACAAATTCGATAATCCAACACATTTGGAAACCGAAAGCATCAGTAGTAACAGAAGCAAAGCTCTTTCTTAGTACCAGAAATATAACTTGGCTAATTCAGAAAAATAAACATGGCAAAAGGGGGGGAAATATGGTTTTTTTCCCCTAGTAACACCCTCCTCTCTGCAATGTCTTAAGCAGCTCACTTGTATCCAGCTTATCAGCCCTAATCAGTGCCTTAACATACTCTGTAAGTGCTGATGGGTTCGATTGCGAAGCAGGTTTGAAAGAAGGTTGGCTCTCAAACGTCCTAATGACTGCCTCAGATCCTTCGCGACGATAAAGCTCTTTCAGGTACGAAGCATCACTTAACTTAGCACTGCCGCGGGACAGACGACTGGAGTAACTTGAGAAAAACCTTCTTCGGACAGCATCGAATGTGTGCACTGCATTAGAAAAAAGGGGGAAAAAAAGGAGAGTTGATCCACATGAAATTCATGTCTCATTTTCCCTATAAAAAGGAAACTAAAGCAGCAAAAGATCCATCTAATTATACCAAATTTGGCCTCGACAGAAGAAGCTGAATTTATAAGCTGCCATTATTACTTAAAAGCAACCAAAAAAACTAATATTGAAAAGAACACATCTATGAAAGACATTAGGCAGCCACTTTATCCATCTCTAAACTTATTCCAGTAAAACCAAGTCAAGCTTTTAAGCAAGTCTGATCCTGATTTAAAAGCAAACAAAATGTAAAGAAACTGTAATGCAGACCTCTACTTCTCTGGAAATTTTGGGGATAGAGAAATCTTCGAGCAAACAAACTGCCCAGTTGCTTCAACTGCGACTGCTGCCGTAGGACCTGTATGTGAAAAAGAAATCAATTTAGTAAATTAGTCCTAAAACTCATAAAAATTATCCTTTTCCCACACCACATCTACCCCCAACCAAATTCACACAAAAACAAAAATTCAAACATATTTTTTTTCTGTATGGGTCCAAACTATAGTACTCCCCTATATGTTTTGCATCTAGGCCTGATTGAAAAATGAATCATAAGTCACCAAAGATTCACATTATTCTACTCATAAAGGCCAAAGAAGCTATCTTTCGAGTTCCGATTAGGGTTTCACATAATAAACAAGAAGACATAAACACCCCAAGGATGCTTGCACTGCTAACACAGCCATATTTAATCAGAATAAAAACAGTAAATAGGGAAAGTTACCATGCGGATGAAAGCCATTCTCAGCGGCCCTCGAAAGAGGCACAACAGCTCTTCAAAAACTCTTCTCCTTTCTTCTCCTTTCTCTGTCTTGGACTACAATAGTTTGCCCTTTCTATGAAGGAATGCATAAAATAATTTGCTCGAAAATTTCGGCCACTGAGTTTCAGCGGAGGAAGGATTAACTACACCTTTTGCTTTCGTCTTAGTCTTCCAGCTACACTAATAAATCAATTATGGGGAAAAAAACATTTCTTATCAAACAAGTCACCAAGCACGGGGAATAATTACTATATAGACCGCCCTCGAGTAACTTTTCCCGCAAGAACTTTCAAAAATAAAGATTCCGAAACTATAAACCAAAATTTCTTTATATTTTTTGAGAGTGCTTTGATCTCACGTCTTGTTCTAAAAGATAGCAATTTTGCTACAACAAATGTAATATAGTAGCTAGCAGTACTACCTTTTGAGTAATGACGAAGCCTGGTTTTACACCGCCGGCTTGGTAGTGGAACTTCGGCTAGGTTTCCTGCAAAAGAAGGCCTCGGGAGTGTCCTGAGGGTAGACACTCTGATGCTTAAATCAAAAAATATTTAAAGAATGTATGTGAGTAGTGGTTTGTGCTAGAGATATTGTATCTCAATTGTGGTATAACCAACCCTATTTATAGGCATGAAGTTACTGGGAGATAATCGAGTCCTATTAGGTTTCGTGTTGCTCAAACCGCTTTAACAGAGTCGGTTAGGCTCTTTACTCGGTTGATGGGCCGGTCCAATATTGGTGATGGATATGAACTCGTCAAGTGCCTCTGTCAAGTGTTAGTTATATGAAATAAACAATACTTGACACAAAATAAGTCTAACCTGGACCCGGCCCAAGAGAAACGGACAAGTCTCGGCCCATGCTCCATCGAGCAGGTCTGATGGGATAATTCGTGGGTCAGGATCCGATTCGGGAAGGTGACCCGACGCAGAGTCCCGCCTAAATGGATGCAGACACTTCCATTACTCTGCACGTTCCCCAAACGACGGTTTCATATCATTATGCCTCCTTGAAAATAGGCGAACCGTCAAATCGTGGGGGGATTCAATTTTCTTTATATAGATTGGAACAAATTAAACCCATTTATTTCACTCGTTTCTAAAATCCTTCTGCCCACAGACTCTCCCAAAGCCATACTTTGTTACTGTCGCCGGAATCCTCAATTCCAGTGACATTTTCGACGGCAAAATCTTTTGAAATTTAAAGAAGCCGCGTTGAGAGCTCAATTTAAGGGTTTGCTGAGTCCCTTAATTGCCCCTGCATAGTCACCATTGCTGTCACATCATTTGTAAGACTCGCCTGAGACTATCACCACCCTGGGAGGTTACAACTCGAAAGGCGAGTTGTCTTTTCCAATAGTAAGTCTTTCTAACTCACTCTTACTTTCTAATTCCTTTAGAATTCTAGTTCTGATTTAGATTTGAAATACTGTGGTAAATATGGCTAAGAACCCAGATTTAAAAACTGTCGATGACTTTGCTTCTACCGTAGATTCGGATGGGAAGGTAAATGGTATAAAAACGAGATATGACCTGCCCCTAGATCTAGAAGTTAGAGCCCGATTAGGAACTGAGAGGACTAATTCTCCTCCTGAGGGAAGAATCACTGTATATGACCGCTTTATGCATCTAGGGCTAAGATTCCCCCTCTTTTCTTTGTTCGAGGAGATTGTCCAACACTATAAAACTTCCCTTGCTCGTTTTACACCAAATTTGATAACCTTATGCTCGGGTTCACGAAAATATGTCAACGAGTAAAAGTAAAGTCCCAACTAATTCCGTGGAGATACCTCTCCCAAGTTGTCATTCCCTCGACATCATTCCAAGATTGGTACATTATCAAGAGACGCCTTAGACCCGGCGTCAAGAAGATGGTTGAGCCTATGGTGGTTCACCTGAATTAAACCCCGAATACCTTTTTGTGAAAGCGTCGGAAAAGTGTTGTGTTGCTTGGAACCATCGAGAAGTAGAAGGTCTCGGGTCGATAAAGGATGAGTGGTCCAAGGAGGATGACGATAGCGTCGAGGAGTTTGCTGACGATTTGAAGAAAATCTTGAAGTACTCCAAGCTTGTTAAATGGAGTGATGTGCAGTACTACATTCCCTCTGTTCTCGTCGAGGAGGGGAAAGATACTAACGTTCTGGTCGAGGAAAAAAAGGTTCTAATCTCTTTTATTCCTATTTTTAGGTCATGTCGTCAAACAATATTGGTTCTCGACTGTATGGTGATGAAGATCCTTTTCCTATTGTGAATTCAGATGAAGAAGAGTCAACTACTGTAGCTGTTGGAGCCAAGAAGAAAAGGAAGAGACTCGTGAAGATCTCTGAGAAGGAGAAGAAAAAGAAGGCAGATGTTCCCTCCTCGAAGTCAACAGCGTAAGGAGAGAATACCATGCCTTCTTCAATGGAGAAAATCAGTGCCCTCCTTGCAACCGAAAAGGCCACCACTCCCCAAGTAGAAGTAAACCCAAGCACCAAGGCACCTATCATGGACAAAGGAAAGGGCCCACTCGAGGAGGAAGCAACCATTATGCCATCCCGTGCATTCGAGGGAGGACCAACTGTGGCAGTTCATACTTTTGGCGATCCTCCAACCCTTGAATGCCCCTTGTTGGAAGAGTTTGCTGCATAGCTAACATCGACCAACAACTTGAGGCTTGTAAGTACTTTATATGCCCCGAGAATATGCTTGCAAATATCTTGCAGACGAACTTTGTTTCATTCGGCTAAATTTTACAGATGAGTGCAGCCTCGATGGCATACTTGATACACATGAGGAATTTAAAGGAGGAGTTGGTCCAAGCTCGGATCGAGAGGGACCAAGCGCTTGTTGAGAAGGCCGCTCTCGAGGAGAAGAATCAGCAAATACAAGCCAAAGAGCAGGAGTTAGCCTCGGTGCAGGCGAGATATAATGAGTTGGACAAGAAGCTGAGAGATTTTGCAGATCTGCATATCTCGAGGGAGGACCTCCACAAATAGTGTGCTGCCTTTTGGTTCAGGATGTTATCTTTAGGTAGCATGGCAGCAGCTATCAAGGAGGTCAACTTCGCGGCCACAGAGTATGGAGCTCACAGAGTAGCTGTTGCAGGCCTTAAGAGGCTTAGCGGAGACAGACCCATCAAGGCCAAATGGTTCAAACAATTCCTAAAAGAGAGCCCTAAGAAGACCATGATGAGGCCTTGGTAAAGATCCTCACGAAGCTCAGCAGTGAGCAGCTACCTTCATGGGAAGCTCTTTGCGAAACCCTCGTTAAGATGGGTACTCCTGAAGATATGGCCATGTCCCCTGGTGATCCCGCCATAGTCCTGTCCAAGGGTCCAAGCGATGAGGAGCCAATTCCCAAGGTGCTGGATGAGTATATCGGCATCAAGCTTGAGGAAGAAAGATGATGAGGCTTCGAGGGAAGATGTGTCTGACACTGGCAACTCTGGAGCGCAGAAGAATGCCGAAGAGATATCTCCGAGTCATCCCATGGATGGTTTTACTGGGCAAGATGCTGTATGAACTCTTCCCTCTGTAATAGCTGCTAGGGATTTTTGTAAACAATTCAAGTTTTTATTTGCCCCTTAAGTGAATGGCATGTTGTCTATCCTTCCAAATCTAATTTGTGGCCTTTGGATTTTCCTGAAAGCAAGATAGTTTGTCGGTCCATCGGATTCATCCCATGATTTTGTCGGAGGAACAATCGAGGGAATATCCTCTATACTCAATGATTAGCGAGATTATGAGAAGTCGCGCATATGTCCATAGTATCGAGACAGTAGTGAACTTAGAAACGGACCTTCTCGATGCTATGCGAGCGCACAATGTGAAAGTCAACCAACATCTGATCAAGGAAATAGAAGAACTCCGAGTGGAAATGCAACGGCGAGATTATCTGAAAGATAAAGACTTCAGCGATTCTCTAACTTTCGAGATGGACATCCATGATGAGCTGGTTGCTCTGGAAAAAGAAAACGCCTGGCTAAAACAGGGCAAAAAGATTACCGTGTTGTCATGGTTTCTCGAGAAGCATCAGGTCCTTGCTCGAGTGCAGCACATGATCTCAATAAGAACGCGTCGAGTTATTTTGGCGATGGATATGCTGAGGGAAAGAACTTGCGAAGCTGAGCTCCTGATGAAATACATAAGCAAGCTTCAGAACTTACTACTGGACCATAACGTCGACTTCCCACCCCTCGAGAAGCCCGAAGAGCTGAAAGATCCAAGAACCAGGAGCTCTCGAGAGGAACTCCTTTTAAGGGTTCATTCCCAGGACAAAGAGATTATAGATCTCAAGGATAAGCTCAACTAGTGTGTAAATCTTCTTAGCCTGCATGGGTTTAAAGGCATTATCCACCCTTCTCCTGACAACCCCAGCGTAGAAATCCTTGTAATATCGTAGGAAAACTTGTATGTTCTCCTTGGAACCTCACACAATATGTGAAGGCAGCAAACGTATGACTGCTTTATAAAACTCGAGTTTTCTTATTTGTATAGCGCTTTTGGGCCGGATGTTAAGTACACGGCTTTCTCGAGGAAACTGGGTATGAGTTCCTCGATTTGTTACCGCGATCTACGGTGGGTACGAGGGGACTTCCTTAGTTTTTGTCCGAATGTTGAATACACGGCTCTGAACGAGGATGGCCCTAAAGAGGGAGTCCATCTCGAGGACTAGTATCAATAAAATGTCGACAATATAAGAAAATATGTAATGACGTTTATCGAATAATTACCCGAGGACCCGGGCTAGCATTACATATGAGAAGTAAAAGTAGTCGAGCACATAAAGCAAATAAAGTAAATAATCTAAACTAGCAAGTAGCAGACAAAGACTTAAACGTAGAACCTGCGGAGGTTCTGAATGTTCCACCATCCAGGGAGGATGGTTTCGTTGTCATCCATGGCTTGTAAGCAGTAACTGCCCGCCGGAGAGGCCTGAATGACCTTGTAAGGTCCTTCCCAATTTACAGTGAGTTTTCCAGGAATCTCTGCTCGACTG